ACTAGAATTGACTGGCATGCTTAGAACTAAAATTTTAAAAATTAAATAGTAATAAACTTTTGTTGATAAAGATCCTCTGCAATAAGGTATAGTTTACAATTTCTAAAACAACTGTATATACGCATAATAAATTTAAGTAAATGAACAGTGGACACTGTGAGTCTATTATTTCCCAGATGCAGTGGAGTTGGAAAGCAGCCCATGTAGTAAATGAATTAGGACGGCATCTAAACACAGCCACAAAGAACTGTATAGAATGTTTATTGATGTTTAGCTTAATGTATGTGATTACATAGAAATTCTTGCAAGTGTATTGCACTATGTCAGATGTATGTGCTTTATTTCTCCAGCATCTGAGAGAGTCTGGAATTAATGATACCCTTCCTGGGTGAGCATAATCAGATATTGCTTCTGATACTTTCTCCAATAAAAAGAGCCTGTTATATCTGGAGAAATGAGGCCTGGGACAGAAGTTACACACAGTGAGCCTGAATGTCTTGCAATGCCTGAAGACAGTAAGTTCTCAACAGAACCAACATGAAATCCAAGACCAGTATGTGTCCAAAAACCTATTGCAAAAATGAAAAAGTCTGAAATTCCAACGTTATAGATATTCAGGGTATAGATTAATAAAATTTATATAGGGCTGTATGTCAAAGATTAAAGTGATGTTTGTCTATGTATGAAAAAATAATTAAATTAATATATAAAAATGTGAAATGAGACAAATTCAGAATTACAAGTAATTTATATGTGTAATTGTCTCCTTGAGAAAGAGTATTTGTTTTCACAATTTAAGTGCAATTTATGCAATGATTTTCTTCCAAAAAGTACAACACGGAAAAAAAAAGAATAAATACACAGTGGGGAAAGGTGACTCAGCAATTGTGTTGGGTTAATAGCAGTAATGATAGATGCTTCTAGTAGGATGCAGAAATCATACAATGTGATAAACTTACCTTTTACCTCTAGATTCTGTCTTATAAAATTCCATTACTACAGCCTAATCATGAGAAAAAGCAGAAGACAAATTATGATTACAAATGATTCTACAAAGTACCGTACTAACACTCAAAAGCTATCTAGGTGTTTGAAAACAATTTTATGAATCTGTTACAAAGCAAATAACCCAAACAGCCATGAGGAGAAATGTGACGTGCTGTCTACTAAGGGATCCTGGAACAACAGATTATTGTTGTTGCTGTTTTTAAGTAAGGAACTTAGCAGATGTACAGAATTGAAGAAATGGAAGTCATCAAGGTGTTCATTGGCTGATTAATGGATGAAGAACTGTACTTATATGCACAGTGGAATGTTTTTCAGCCACAAACAGGAGTCAAATCCTCTTGCATGTGACAATACAGTACTAGAAATCCTCACATTCATGTGAAATAAGATAGTTTGAGGAAGATAAATGGTGCATGATCTCATGCATATGTAGAGTGTAAAGAGTCGATCTCACAGAAGTTAAGAACACAACAATGACCACCATGGACTAGCAAAAGCAGAGGCAGAGATGTGGTATCTTAATCAGTGGGGCCATGTTCCAGTTACATGAGGAGAAGAAGTTCATCTGTGGCATTGTGTAACTGGGTGATTGCCGGTAATAATATGTACTGTGTATTTCAAAATGCAAAAAGAAAATACTTTAACTATTTCACTATGAATGAACTACTATTATTTGAACAATGATAAGCATAAAAACTAGATGTTTACCTGATTTAAACAGCTCACATTATATATGTAAATCATACAAAATTATATTAAAATATTAAATTCTTATCTTTTTAAAATTTTATTTTATTTTACTTTGAAGAATAAAAATGGGGTCAGAAAGATAGCTCAGTAGAATAAACACTTGCCCCCCAAGCGCTGGGTCCTGAGTTCCATCTCTGGTACCGAAAAAAATAAATAAATAAAAGGAAAGAAAAGAAAAGTAAAAAGAAATAGCAGAAACAAAAAGGGAGATACAGCAATACATATGTTACAGATTTTCAAAACAAGGATAATTAACAATGGTTTTTCAGTTCTCTACTTTTATCATCAAATCTGTTGCTAAGATTAATATAGTTATGCAAGTTTGAAAAATTAATTGACTATTAACAGTTGCTTTCAATAGACCTTAGTTTTTGCTTGTCTTTTTTTTCTAAAAATATTTTAAATAGAGTATAATAATAATTGAAAGAAATTAGAAATGGTACACATTTATAAGGCCAGGATGACAGGTATTCAACCATGGCTTTTGTATTACACATTGCTGTCCAATTTTTATCTTTTATAGATGAGTTAATATTTCGTCTTTCAACATAAAAAGCAAGGAATATTTTTTCTTTTTCTTTTTGCTATGTAGGGCATCAAACCCAGTGTCATGCATACTCAAAGCAACACTACCACTGAGCTACACCCTCAGCCTAGGTGTTCTAAGTAATTGGGAACATATATTCAGAATAATGTGTCAATACTTATTCATTATCTAGTACAAATAAACTTTAATAAAGTAAAATGTTAATAATGGAAGAAGCTAGATAGGGGGCACATATGAAAATATCACTATCTTCAGGTTTTAAGGTTTTTTGTTTGTTTGTTTGTTTTTTGGTGGAACTGAGGATTGAACTCAGGCCCTTGCGCTTGCCAGAGAAGTGCTTATTCTACAGAGCCATCTCCCCAGCCCAGGTTTTAAGGTTTTTAAAAATAAATTTAAGTGAAGGAGGGGAGAAACAATTTATACAAACACACACACATACACACACACACACACACAATAGCTAAGATAATTAATACTAATTCCTATCAGTTCATTGAAAGGAATAGCTGTTGCTTATATTGTTTGATCAATTTTGCATGGTGTATCTGGTAATCTGAGCAACTATTTTGACTGTAATAATATGCAGTATAATAATCATTGTTAATTTCCTGTTATCTTATTTTGAAATTCTGAATCTTTTAACTTAATTTTTCTATTTAAAATAATAATAATAAAACTATTAACAGCTGAAAGGGAGCTAATTTCCAATAATGCTAAAGATCAAAGTATATACCTATCAGAGTTAAATAAAACCATAGTTCACTTCAATTGGAGAAAACATAAGTATTTCATATGATACAATAGTACAGACATTTTGGACAAAATCAGGGATATGTCTAACACACAGCACACTATATAGTTTTAAGGAAGAAAACTACTGATGCTCAATCTGCAGTTTTACCTAAAGAGATGGGATAGTCCTCACATTACAATAAAAACTAGAAGATCCCTCCCTGCCTAAGCTGTTCATTCCTGGAAAATCCTATTGGTAATATATCTATGACATAAACAGAACAAATTCCCATTGTTTGTGAGTTGAGATTGATTATGAACTTTTTTTTTTTTTTTTTTTTTTTTTGGAAAGGGTCTACAGGGTATTCAGGTTCTCACTACTAGATTGAACTCTTAGTGATCCGCCTGTTTACAGCCTTCCAGGAGCTGGGACTACAGGTACATGCCACCACACCCAGTCTCAATTGCTGTCCTGCCCCGGGGTCAGGGTTGGCCCAGCAGGCATTAAGATCAAACTCCAGGCTACTGCACCTACCTTCAGATGCCTTAATCTGCTGAGCTCTTTGGCCAGCCCTAGAATTTTTTTTTCAAAAACAATAATAGACATCTTTTATATGTAATGCACAACAGCAGGAGGTGTAGCAATGAGAACAGTGTTAACTAGATAAAGATTTTGCTGTAGAAAGTAATTATCAGTAAGTCTGTGGATAGCCATTTATGTGACCAGCTGTCTCCAACTTTGGAAACACGAAATACACTGATAGACTCAAGCGATCTGCTTCTGTGAAAAGCCAGAGAACTTGCTAACTTAAAGGAAGGACACAGCATGAGTTCTCAATACGCAATGCCTGGAAGTTGGCTCAGGTTTGCACCAGAGGTGATACTCTTCTTTCTCACATTAAAACTAAAATTAAGTACAAGAAATATAATGATTCAAGTTATCACTGTAAAGTAAGTGATAATATAAACTGTGATTTGATAAGTCACTGAATATAAATACTGAGAATTGATATTAATTCTGAATTAAAAACAAACCAAAATTCATGAAGAAAATAATCAGCTCTTTTCAAAATATTTTGAATGAGTCACTTCTCCAACTTGAAGCAAGAAATTAAACATCTGAATGTATCCATTTGAACTTAACTTATTGTACATAGGTGATGTGGCTACGTTACAAAATCGAATTTCGTAATTTGAATTATGCTTGTAGTATTTTGATGAAGATAGTGATTTTGAGTTCATGTCTTTATTCAAATGGAGCTATGCTTGATAGTATGCATATATACATATATTTAAATGAATAGGAAATTAAGTGCAATAATGGAGACTTTGAGTTCAGTTTATCATTTTTATAAACAAATTTTTGCACTGAGAAAAATAGCCAAATACTGCCATGCCCTGGCTATCCAGTACAGAATAATTAATTGTTGTCTAATAATGTTTATTTCTTTCTATGTGTCACTATAATTGCTAATCCAGGTTATTTGCTAGTCTTCTGCTGATGTAAGTAGTATGATTCAGTTCCACACTCAACAGTTTTGGATTTCCAATAGAGTAATCACCATCACAGTCACAACATGCCTTTATCCTTTCTTGTTAGAGAAATGCACTCCTGCAATTTTGAAGAAATTGAAGCTTCCCTCCATCTTGCATGAACATTTCCTGCGCTGAAACTGCACTTTCCTCCTTTTTATTTTGGTCACTTTTTACATCACTTTTTTCTGCCATAAATGAGAAGACAATGACATTTGAAGGGATGAGAAAAATACAGATGTGATTACCTTCCTGCTTTGTGCCTGCTTGCTTAATGTTGGGTGTGACAGGGTGACCTGATCAGTTTGTTAGATCACTCTGTACAATTGCTGCGCTTCAGATTTGCAGGGACAGCGATCCCAGGATGCATTGCTTTCTTCATCTTTCTGTCTTAAGTTAGGAAATGGCATGGATGCAACAATGTATTCTTGTGCTCGCTTTGGCAACATACATGCTAAAATTGGAACGATACAGAGAAGATTAGCATGGCTGCTGTGTAAGGATGACACGCAAGTTCTTGAAGCATTCCATGTTTTATTTTTAAAAATGCATTCTTATGTTTAGTAATAATAATGTCTGAGTTATGCATTAAAATAACAATACAAGTGAATTTAACTTGATATAATTTGGGATCTAGAATGTCGTCCATTACTTTGCTTTAGTATTTGATGGTTAAAGTTTTTCTTTAAAAAAAAAATCCCATGTGTACTAGATAACCCATTTATCTTTGATGACAGGTTGATGCATTTTGTTTTTAAAGAAGCAACTAGATTGAAAAAACTTCAATTCAGCCCTGGTAATTCTGCTGAGAGACAATAGGATATTAGAGATAGTCTTCAATAATCATAGTCCTGATCCAGATGAAAAATTTTGAATTTAAAGTGACAGTACAAAATAACATTGATTTCACTAACTTTAAGAAGTAATCTCCCATTGTCTGAATAAAGCCTTTGGCTGGTAGTCATCGAATGAAAATGTTTACCTGTGATTTTACGCTGGCAAGGGTGTCATTTCACAGCAAAATGAGGGTCCATGAATTGTAAGAGGAAGCATCAACGCACAAATAGCACAACCTAGGAATACATCACCAGGCTAGAAAATTATTTTCTACATTTTCAACTGGATGAAGCATTTCATTTTAATACAAATTGGAGAAAGTTAATCATTGGAAGGAAATACTTTTTAAAACATCACTCAAACTTGAGTATAATCTGAGCATATTTAAATGAACATTCACACTGCTTGAGATGCTTCTGTGAGAGGAAATTCTTAAGTAGCGGTTAAGCTCTACTAGGAGTCGTCATTTGATTTTTTTCTTTCCATGACCATTTCGGACACCAATTAGCTATCATAAATGGAAAAGAATTATTGCAATGGAAATTTATTAACCAGTGTCCTGATGGAGGCAAATACAGCCTCCGGCATTCTCAGAGCAGCAGCACAGAGAGCAGGGCTGCTACACAGGCAGCTGGGCAATCGCAACCAGCCGGTTGTTCACTGAAGCGCCTCCTTTCCAGGGAGGGTTTATACAGATGACTCCGGTGGGGTAATGTGTGATCCTTAGTAGAAAAGGCTTTGGACCCAGACTAGCTGGGAAGCTAATTAGACTCCAGAATGTGGGCTAACAAGAGGTATTACCAATTTTCTGATTGTCAGAATCAATGGAGATATTAGTAAAAACAAGACATATCAAGGTTCCGTGGAGGCTCAGTACCTGGAAGAGAGAGAGAATTTGTCCGAAATTACCCAGCAAACAAATGCTGTAGATAATTCTGTGCATGAATTAATTTAAGGGTGCTATCTTAAAAGTACTAAAATATAAGTTATTCACTCACTGGTTCAGCAAATACCTCTTAGAAAATTCCCATGTCCATTTCTTTTAAGCTTTGTGGTATACACAACAGCGATGTTTGCGAGCAGAAAATTCATTCATTTGTAACGTCTTAAATTTTTAAAAATTGAAGTTCCATTTTTTGAACAAATATATTAAAAACAGATTGTGTTCAACGAACACATCTTACTAATATCTAATATTTTAATAAAATATTATAATTATAAGGAAGACAAAGTTTTGTGAGATGTTTAATGTTATCAGCATGTATAATTTTAATAATTTAAGGTCTCTGATAATCAAATGAGCTGAGTTAAGCAGTGAAATAATTTATAGATTCAAACTAACCTAAAACATAATGAACCATAACCAGTTTTACAAATTTAAACTAAATTTAGCCTGAATTTATATCCTAAGCTCTAATCTTAAGAAGTTATTCAATTAGTATTCCAAAATAGATTCATAATGTTCTACATCAAATTGTATCAAATACTTAAATCCAAGTATAACCAATACACAAAATGTGTTCATGAAATTTTATTACACATATGAATACTCAGGACTTATGGATTTGATTTCATTGTTATGTTTCATTTTGAACAATTGCTAAGGAGATAATTACACAATCCAAAAAGTGATAACACATCCAGATAATTGTCACTGCTGTCAGTCTTTCCTAGTTGAATGAAATGCTTCCTTGGTAGAGGGCTAGACTGAAAATGGTATATTTGAAGACAGATTATTTCTTATTCAGGCTAACCGTGTTAAAACAGCTTTAAGTATAATTTATGATTATTTCCTTTCCGTTTTCCTTTCAGTCCCACCATCTTGAAACTTCCTACAAATTTAAGGTGTGATTTCAGAACTGCCTTGAACACCTTCATGAATACATCAAGAGTCACACTGGGGCAAAGCTGTAGTGGCCGGAAAATGACCAAACTATCCACAGTCTTCTCAAAAGTCTCTTTCAGCTCATGGCTCATTGACGTCCAGCAGTCCTGGAAGGGAAACCTTAGTTCTGTATGACCAAAACACTAAAATATGCTGGCAATGAATGGATCACTACCCTAATGGCTGAAGATGGTGCTGCCACATGGCACTAGTATTTGAAGCACCGTATCAGGAGACAGTATCTGACTACAATAATGAAATTAATGTATTTGGATGTTGAACAACTTGGAATTCTGGAGCAAGAATTACAATTGAGTGGAGAAGATGCCTTCTGGTACAAATTCAATGCAATCCTGATCAAAATACCATTAGTATGCTTCACAGAACTAGAGAAAACATTCCTAAAATTCATTTGGAGAGTAGTAAAGGCAATCCTGAGCAACAAGGGAAAAGCAGGAGGAATTACAATCCCTAGGATTTGAAATTATACTACAAAATACTGTGATAAAATCAGCATGGTAATGGCAAAAAATATATGTGAGTATCAGTGGAATAGATTAGAAGGTAAAGACACAACTACAAACACACTCAGCAACTTATCTTGGACAAAGAATCTAAAGATGTTCACTAGAAGGTAGATGACCTCTTTAATAGATGGTGCTAGAAAAACTGACTTTCCCCACATAAAAGGCTAAGAATAGACTCTTGCCTATTGCAATACACAATACTACAGTTAAAATGGATCAAAGATTTAAATATTAAAACTGAAATATGAAATCTTCTGGAGGAAAAAGTAGGTAGAAATCTTAAAGACATAGGGGTAGGTAGAGAGTTTATGAACAAAACTACAAACCAAGGAAATACTTCAATAATCAAAATTGGGATCTTATCTTTTTGAAAAGTTTCTGCACACTAAAAGATATACCCAACAGAGTAAAAAGAAAACCTATGAATTGGTAAAACAAAACTTATTGTGGCTTTTTCCTCAGACTTCTATCTAGAATATATGTAGAATTAAAAATATCAGGCCTCCAAAATTCAAAATCCCAATCCAAAAATGGGCATTTGAGATACACATTTCACAAATAAAGAAATACAAATGGCAAATACACAAATGAAAAAATGATCAACATCACTGGTCATTTGAGAGATGCAAATTAAAACAATGCTTAGATTTTATCTTTCGCCAGAAAGAATGGCTATCATCAAGAGTTCAACCATTTACAAATGCTGGAGAGTCTGTGGGGAGAAAGGAATCCTTCTGTACTGTTGGTGGGAGGGCACACTGGTAATACCTCTATGGAAATCAATGTGGAGACTCCTCAAAACCTAGAATTGGAGGTCCCATTCAAACCAGATACTCCTTTGCGGGGTAATTTTCTCAAATAAAACATCATACTACAGCTATATAAGTGCAACAACGTAGTAGTGCAGTTTGTCATAGCTAAATCTTGAAAACAACCCAAATGCCCATTAACTGAAGAATGGATAAAAACAATGTGGTATTTTTATACAATAAAGTATTACTCAGCTATTAAAAAAGATAAATTCAAGGCTTTTATAGATAAATGGATGCAACTAGAGAATGTATTGGTAAGTGAAATAAATCAGACATGCATTTGCAAACATCTCATTGTCTCGCTCACTAATATGAGAACATAAAAAAGTAAATACAATATGAAAGGTACAGTAATACATACTGTAAGCGGGAAAGAATCTGGCTGATAGGGAAAAACTTAGATGAGGCAAAAGACAAAAGAAGGGAGAAAGCAAACATGCAAGTAAATTTGGATAACTGTACTGCTGATTTCCACTGGCTTATTGGAAGGATCAGTTAATGCTTATGCTTTTATTTTTTCTTCTTTTTAACTTATAATTTTTTAACCACTTTGCAGGTTTAGATCTGATAACCTAAACTAATTTGAAGATAACATTATGCATTATAACAACCATTGTCAAATTCCAAGTACTTAATATAATCAAATTTTATATTGTTTCTTTCTTTTTTTCTTTACCATTTGTACCATTTAGAGGATGGGGAGCTAGCTCAGCAGCCTAAGCAACAGCCTGGCAAGCTCAAGGACCCAGGTTCCATCACCAATACCACATACCATGCTGGTCCTTGAATCACTAGAGTGCCATGCAGGCCTCAGACACCAGGCATAGTGGCGCATACCTGTAATCCCACTGCCGGAGAGGCTGAGACAAGAAAATCACTATAAGTATGACGTACATAACAAAACCATATAGCAAATACATAAATAAATAAAAAATAGGAGTCACATTGCTACTAACTTAGTATGATATTAAATTCTCTCTCATGAGGACAATTTAATTATAATTGAATTATTTTGGTTACTAGGTGGAAAACTGAAGAAAATAATTAACAAATAATGACCCAATTTACCAATAGAACACACAGTATCCAAAATCATTGTATATATTAAATTTATTGAAAATAATCATAACTTGTGTAGTCAATCTGGCCTTATGGAAGTTAAAAATTATTCAAACTAAACTATGACCTTATTTTATTTGAAAAATAAACATATAAACATTTAGCAAGGATGATTACTCAAATGGAAATTCGACAATGCAGAACTAAACAATGCATGGGTATGGAAGCAAATCAAAATAAAAATTAGAAAATATTTGGTTCTAAGAGTTAGCGTCTTGTGTCATAGCAACATTCCTGGATATTAGTTAATAGAGGACACAGTATCTTCAGACTGGAAAGTACTTCAATGTGTAGTGATTGTGGGAAGGAAAAGAAAACTCAAAGCAGTGAGCTGTGCATTGATCAGAAGAAGTCAGC